GATATATTTTGGGTATTTGGTACAGAGGTTATGGTCACCGTAGCAAAGAGCTTTGACGCACCCATTAAGGTTGTATGGCCAAAACAGTGGATTGGATTACAGCCTGATGAAGCTTTACAATTTACAATGCTTGGATTGGGTGATATTGTTGTTCCTGGTAAGCTATTCTCTTGAAATCACAGTACATTATTTTTAGGGCCGTAGTTGAGAAGGATCTAAAATCGCAATTTTAGGTATTTATGTGGCCCTTTGTCTTCGCTTCGACCACAGCAATTACCTAAAAAAGAACCCTAATGCGAGTCGAAACTCTGCTTTCCCTACTCCTTATTTTTGGAACTGTTTTACGGCATACATACTGGGGCTTGTCACAACAATAGTAGTTATGCACACATTTAAAGCTGCACAACCAGCACTACTTTATCTTTCCCCTGCGTGTATATTGTCTGTCCTCGCTACCGGGATAATCAAAAATCAATTAACAGATGTTTTTAATTATTCTGCTGATGATGCCGAAAGCAAAAGCGAAGATAAGAAGAAAGACACAGGTCGTCCAGCGAAGCAAATGTCAAGCGAAAGCGAGGGTGACGATGGAAGTTCAAAGAAACGCAGCATCCAGGGTGATGACGACAATTCTGGTGCAAGTGCCGTCCTTACTGCGGAAGAAGAAGATTATGTAGAAGTATCATCTACGTCATCAACAAGCGGTACTAAAAATAAAAAGAAAAAGAAGACTTCTAAAAAGAAATCGAGTTAACTACTGCTTTGGTACTTTACAATTATTTAGATAATAAATTAGAATAGGTAAGCAAGAATAATTGCTCTTACATAATAACACAGAGTCTAATCTAAAATGATTTGTGGGTCTGATAACATCCTTTTGGGTCATTGCCTTTTCTACATGTATACTTTATAGAATATATGGCAAGAGAAACGATATTTTAGATTTAGATTTGATAAGGGATTTAATCTTACTTTATCATTGAATATATAAATAATAACACGTTGCCTCATATAGTATGATTTTTATATTTATTATGTATGTACTTAATTAAAATTATTTGGCTAAACGGAAATTCTAGCACTAAATGTCAATATTTCTTGTCGCAAAAAAAAAAAATAAAAAAAAATAAAAAAAAAGCAAATAAACGATAAATCAGATAAATTTTTATGTTTCGATAAGGCAGTTTATTTTACGTACTTATGAATACAAAGTATCGGATATTCAGAACCGTAAAACAGTTTATTATTTTAGCTAGTCCTCCATCAATTTAAACTACAAATGTTTAAATCGAGTCAATAAATGGATTACACGTCATATAATGTAAGTCGAACACATTACCAAATCATCGGTAGCCACAGCATCTTCATCCAATGTATCGTTCGATTTCTTTTCAAAGGGCCGGAGAAACTTTTTGAAAGAATAATTAAATCATACGATTATAATGAAAAAAAAAACATGACATGTACCAACCTCTTCAGCTTCTTGAATCGATGTAGTACTGTCCGGCGCTTCATCTCGACTAATTAAAGTTATTTTCTCACGAATAATCAAATCCCAAAAATCAGTTTTAGAGGGTTGTGCCATGAAACATGTAGTCTTCAATTCTTTAAGGAAATCGTTGAACCTCGATGTTTCATTTTCCTAATTAATATAAATTATGCGTTTTATAATATATATGTAGATAAGTTAATAAAAACTAAGATTTTCTAATAAATTGTTTTTTATACGTTGAATAAAGCTTAATCAAATTTGAAAATTTTTTTTAAAAAATTTTAAGAAAAAATTTTTAATTTTGTCTAAAGTTTTAAAAAGTTATAGAAACTTGTTTTATTCCTACTGGCTTTCCATATTATAATTAAATGGTACCTTCGTACACGCCTGTCGTAGTATCTTAAGACAATCTAATGCCTTTGGATATAATCCTTCAGCAAACGATGTTTTGACAAAATGCAATATTGTCACGGACATCTGTTCCACAGCTAAGCATGTAACGAACATAGAACCAACTGTTAACATTATATATGATGTACAATTAGAAATATAAATCAAATGTAAGAACGATTACCAGTTGAAACTAAATCTTCTTGTCGGTTTGCAATCATTGCTTGGAAATTAGATATTGGATCAATAGTGCCGACTTGCCGAATGGTCTCATGTTGGATTAGCGCATCTGTAGTAATGCCATCATCTGATTTAGCCCTTTTCCCATTTTTGTGCTCTTCTGGTTTGTTCAAAATTTCCTCAAGACTAAGTTCTTGGCTACTAGGTTTGTTTGCATCAGCAAATCGACGTTTTCCAGTCTTTCCTCTCTCTTTGTTAACTATATTAAAATATTAAAATATGAAAAAAAAAAGCTTACAAGTTCGGATGGCTTACAAATAATTCGATTGGTCATACCTTTTTTAATGTTAAATAATTCCCGCATTTTGTCTGCTAGATCTGAATTTTTTCGAATTAATGACGGAAGAAACTGTGTTTGTGCAATCATTTCCTGGTTAGGCTGAAGTAACGGATCATTCGGATATAATGCTCTGTGGCAAGTCGCTTTCTTGGTTTGAACAATAACTGGATTGAAACATTCTTTAACTTTGAGATATTCTTTCATATTGCTAAATAAGTAAAACTATGTATTAAATGTCTAATTAAGCATCCATCAAGACATAACCACAAAGATCTTTACCCTTTCTCATCCTTCGCAGCACTCATGAGATCCATCCCGTCAATGAATTGGTCCATTTTTTCAAGCATATTGTCATCTGGTAAATAATTGTGATTTGTCAATTCTTTACCACTTTTACTTATGACGCGATCAAAAGAAGGAAAGGTGAAATGATGACAATCTTCTTTAAATGGAATCTTTGAATTTTAAAAATATTTATTAATTAAATAATCTGGTCGACCAAGAAATAAATAAAATAATACCAGTTAAATATAAACACATACACGACAAAAATATAAACATTCTCTCGGCACACGAATATAAGGAATTAATATTCCTAATTTTGGTGGGTCGTTATTTTTTTTCACATAGCGAACTATTGCGAAAGAGTCCTTTTCGTATAGTGCACGAATTAATGCCGAAAGACGCTGAGCCATTGTCAGATTATTGGTTTGAGGAACGACAGTGGCAACTGCCGACATTAAATATTCGCGTTTAAACTAATAATACTTTGCACTCAGTACTTATATTAAAGAATAAGGCAAGGTAACTATATAACTGGTATCATATTCACCTCATTGTTTTTGACGAATCCAACAATTTCCATTGATTTATTCGTAACCATGGTAAAGACTTCTTCGTCTGCTTCATTAACAGGGATAAGAGTCTTTCCTAACGAATACGCCTTATTCAAATCTTCACGTGGAACTTCAACTGCCTCATTCTTGTAATTATCAACAACCGATATAGTATAAGTTCTAGACATATTTACTTCAGACGTTTTTTTGGGAGTGTTGGTAGTCTCAGCAAGGGCCGAATATTTTGTTGATGTAGGAGGCCGTACTTTTGTTGTACGTGAATACATCTCAATATTTATTGTAAGAGATGTTTGAGAGGACACTTTGACATCATTAAGAGTCAATGCACCTTTAAAGATAGGAACGGGTCTCACGGTTCTGATATGCGGCTTCGAAAGTTGGTTTAATGTTTCTTCCATCGAAAAAATTGTTGCTTGTTGACATTTGTTTATAATTTTTTTGAAAAAAGATTCGCTTTGTCGCTATAATATGTTTAGACACCAACTTCAGATAAGATCATAAATAAATTTATATTGGGGAACGTGCCTACCTTCACTTCTGACTTATTTTCTTCAAAAAACCCTGCATCAGGATCATCAAAACCAATACCCCTATAAACAATTAAACGTTATAAAACTATGGTTTCTAATAATTATTGGCATATAGTTCTGAAAATTCAAAATTATACGCACAATATATTTAATTCAACATTTGATTCATTTATCTGATGTAAAACTGCATCAAGATCAGAACTATTTATCGGTGACTCTCCATCGGTCAAAATATAAATTTTTTTTTCGAACTTTAGCTTTTTGCAATGCAAGTCGATCATGCCCAGGGCGACAATAAGAGCATCGAAAGCTAATTGACACAGATGCGCTTAAAATGTATTTTATAAAATTGAGAGCAAAATCAGAAATTAGCCAACCATCTCCTTTAACGTTTCCTCGAGGCAGCTCGTTGTTAACTGTTCGAAGGATTGACATGTTGGGTTGTTCAATTGGATAAAGTGTAGTTACATGCTCATAGCCACCGGTCTGATCGTTCATATAATTATTTGTTTCTGTGATTAATTATCTTTTAATGAATAAACGCGGTAGGATTTTAAAATGTGCATAAATGCTTTACGATTTATAAAACATACCGTCTGTTCCAAAGAGAAGGAGGCTAGTTAAATCGGTTTTTAGCCCAGCTATTACCTATAAAAAACATTACGATAAAGGCATTCAGTTTTTCAAGTATACAATCAATTGCGCCGCGTGACCACGCGTTATCCGCACTAAACAATTCAACGTAAGGCGCGCTACTCAATAATGCTAATTTACCTTCGCTTCTAACATTATCAAAACAGCTTTACGTGCAAGATCTAGCCCCGTGACGTCAGGCTTATGTTCAACTTGCCACATGGTAGGTCCAACATCGACAATATAAATAGTAACCTTTTTATTTGCCATTACAACTGTATACTTCAATGTCTATTCTTAAATTGAAAAATATTTCGTGATCGAACGAGTGTTTTTATGAAACTGGTCGACTCCCGTAAATAATTATTCGGAATATTCGATGATATTCGGTGATTTTTGGTGATACAAAAAATAATGATACGGCTTTACAGCTATTATCATTATTTCTGGGACACCTGAAGAATTTTCAGATGACCGCAATAACCTCTGTATCATTCGGTAAAGTACCTAACTTCTCGGAAACTATATC